ATACCCAATTCCTGCAACCGTTCCTTATATATTTTAGCCTCCAGCCCCCTAATCATCTTTGTTGCTCTTCTCTGTACTCTTTCTAGAGTCTCAGCATCTTTTTTACATCGTGGTGACCAAAACTGGATGCCGTATTCCAAGTGTGGCCTTACCAAGGCCTTGTAAAGTGGTATTAACCCTTCACCTGATCTTGATTCTATCCCTCTGTTAATGCAGGCCAGCACTGTGTTGGCCTTTTTGGCAGCTGCAGCACACGGCTGGCTCCTATTTAAGTGATGACCATCACCACGCATGCTTTTACCACGCTGTGATGCAGTGTTGATTAAAGGCGGTTGTTTTAATGTATTGATTTGGATCAGAATCGCATTCCATTGCCATTGATCGTCATCACCGTCACCGTAACTCCTGTATTGACCAAGGTGTGATGCTGTTCAGAAGCAGCCAGGAGGCGAGTACAAAATCAGTTGAATAAAGTCCGTTCTCAACTGAACCGCCAACACGGTAAACAAATATTGACCCCGGATTAAACCGCGCCCAACAGTCGCGCCTACTGAAAACAACATCCAAGCCTGTGCAGATCCCTAATTAAAATAAACCAAGTATTAAGCTGAGAACTCTCATGATCTGTGAAAGGGGAAAAAAGGGGGGGGAGAAGAGGTAGCCAAAGCTTATGCTAAGCCATTTGTATTACTGCATTACTTGTGTTAAGCCAACGAAAGCCGTACAATTAAGCCTCTGTAATAAATTAAAAATAGCTTTTGCGTTTTTGCCCTCCAAAAAGGAGGTGGGCGGGGGGGAACCTGTTCTTGCAAAATTCCCCAGGGTGGTTGGTTACATTTATGGGAATTAATGAGCTGGCTTAGTGGTTCCAGTCAGTGCGCAATTCGTCGTTAGCTGTACGATGATCTTTGGAGACTTGTCCACCGTTTTAAGGAAAACCCAGGGCAGAATTTTTTCCTCCAAAATGAGAAGTAAGCAACAGTGTGTACCAAGGGTAGGGAGAAACCTCTGGAATGTATAAAAGCTAATATTGTACCACACATTAAAAAAAAAAGGTCTGGGGATTTTATTGTACCAGACTTCTGCAGTTAATAACAAACCAAGGATCTAGGCATAAATTTCCTTTGCAGCCTGCTAGGCTGGAAGGAAGAGTGGAAACACCCACCCCCCCTTATAAATTATGCTGCTGCAGATTGTGATGTTTCAATAAGATTTAGATCTGATATGCATTTAAATAGGAAAAGTTTAAAAAAAAAGGGAGGGGGCTTAAATTCACGTATGGGCAAAATCATGCATATTCCAAAGTCAGAAATATTAACTGTAGTGAGCATAATGGAACACACACAAAAAAAATCTAGTTGGTAATGGATGGCGATTTAAAAGAGAAAAAAAAAGAATGAAGCAGCTGAGAGCTTTAATAGATCATTCCTTCAAATCATCGCCACTGCAAAATGGGAGTTAATAAATTATTGGACATGCATATGTGCTCCTGGGTTTAAAGGAGGGGTGTGTCATCTTTGCTGGCAGATGGACAAAAAAAGCCTTGGGAAATGAAAGATATGGAATATCTGAACTTATTAGTTTTTTTATAGGTTTTATTAACTTTTAAAAATTACAGTCTTTAGAGCTTAGTAAACAACACGTCTGAGTTCACATAGTTAACATTAAGTTCTTCAATATAAATCTATTCAGTACTGCACAATCCAGAGTTTTTTCCTCAATCTTCCTTTCTTTCTCATATTTTTTCTCTTTTCTCCTTATTAAACAATTACAGTTCTTAGTACTATTGATGTATACAAAATTAGATATAAGCATCTTCACCATATTTTACTAATATTACAGAAGTAGCAATAATATCCATTCATAAGTCAATATCCTGTTTTTGTGCTCTTATTAAAGTTTGATTTCCCATCAATATTTGAAGTATCTTTGTCAGTTGTGATTTTCTCAACATTAATTACATTTATATACTGTAGCTGAAAAATCTTATTCATACCAATCCTCTGATTTTCAAATTTCCCATATAAAAAAAAAGTAAAAAAATGCTATTTTAATTCTAAATCACATCTTTCATTATAAAAATCTAGTTATATCTAAGGGTCATCTGTTCTTTTAATCATATTCAAACAAGTATATTAAAGAGATAGTGCCCCATCTGATAGATCAAATCCTCTGTTTTTTTAAGTCTAACTCTCGTTTTCTTTCTTCGCCAAGCAGCTTTCCAAGCCAGGGCAATTAAATCGCCCAAGAATTTTCTTTCTATTTTTGTGAAAGCTGTTTGGCCTGAGAAAGACAATTTAAGTAGAGTATTTTTTTTGGGGGGGGGAAACTCTGCTCATCCACATTCCCTAAACATTTCCCCTGCCTGCTGTATGTTCCATTTTCTAGAATCTTCTTCCTTGTCATCCAGTGTATTTTGGAGAAAGAGTAAAGGGTCTTTTGTATTTTTATTGTATAGGTAGGTCTTGCAGTATTTTATTTATGTATGGCAGTCCGTATTTCCCTTCTCCTATCTAGTAGCACCAGTCTCAGTAAAAGTGGAACTAAATTTCCTCTAGTTTTCTGAAATTATCAGTCAGGCAAGGTTGTAATCCACAATGTTCCAAGTGCTCAAAAGGACCATCTGAACTTATTAATAGCCAAGGGACCAAGTCATAATTGAACTGACATTGGGAAGAAGTTCAAAGAATGGAAATAACTTGACAGGGTGTTAACGGTGCTAAACATTGGATGTTCTTGCTTTGACAATATATGGAGATGCAGCCTTTTTCTTTCTTATGCTTTACTCTTAGAATTAGATGATACTGGGGAGGGGAGGAGGAGGAAGGTGATGGGAGTTAGTTAGACATAACAATATTGTAATAGTGTGTGAATTCAGGGCTTTTGAAATAAGAGATGATAAGGAATGGCGGGTTGGAGTAAAGGAGGAAAAGCCTGCATTTCAAACTAATTGGAGAAGGTGATTTATGACTGTTAATTAGAGGAGGGAATCGTGTTTGATACTATAAGGGGAGGGGAATCCAGATTTTGGCTTCGCTTATGTATGTGCCGAAGCTATGCTGCTCAAATAAAGATTCTTTAAGGTAAACAATGCCTCAAAGTTCTTTGAAGAGTTTCATCTGTCGGAACCATGACACAGGGGTTGTCCCAAAGAAGAGGGAGTCAACCTCTTCTCCAAAGCACCTGAAGGCAGGACAAGAAGCAACAAATGGAAACTAATCAAGGAGAGAAGCGACCTAGGGGAAATTTCCTGATATCGATAGGTTGATTTTGAGGAACATAGAGTTGCTACCTATACAAGAATGGTGAGTTTGTATTGACTGGAAACCTTGAGATAATTTTTTTCTAGAAATTTTAGAACCTAGAACTTGGGAGAAATTTCCTGACAGTGAACAATTAATCAGTAGAACGGCTTGTCTTCAGAAGTTGTAGGTGCTTCATCACTGGAGGTCTTCAAGAAGAGACTGGACAGCCATTTGACTAAAATGATACAGGGTCTTCTGCTTGAGCAGGGGTCTGGATTAGAAGACCTCCAAGGTCCCTTCCAACTCCGTTATTCTGTTAAGATCAAGACCAAGGAGCCAAAGTCTGATGGCATGGTGGCTCTCTTTTGTTGGCTCTTTTTGAGATCAAAGATCATCTGTCTGGAATTCTTGCCCTGGGTGGGAGATTAAACTTAAAAGGCTCCACACACTCCTTCCAGTTCAGTGATTCCAGAGGATTTGAGACTTGAGAAAGGGATTTTAAGAGCTCTTTAGCCCCATTGTGTTATTTGACATTGGGCCTCTAGCAACCAAGGACTTCTGACATGGGTTGTCCAGGCTCTTGATTAATCCTTCAAGAGGATAAGAACTATGTGAAGCCAACTCAATTGTGCCCCATTATGAGCTTTTTCTATTAAGATGCTTTTCTTATTATTCCCTCCACCCCGGGTTATTAGTTCATACTTCTGAAGCCACAGGGGACTTCTTCATTTTCTGCACAAGGGCCTTTTGCCCGTTAGAAGATGGTCGATCTCATAATCTTCTCTTCCCCAAAGTAAACAATCCCCATTCCGCTCTTTCAATCATGCTTCAGAGGTTTCTCAATTTTTCTCTGCCCTGCTCAGCTTTCTCTGGATCTGAAGTTATCAAAGCTTAAGCCTAAGTAAGAAAAACGGGCAGAGGAAGATACGGTATTACTCTTTCCCTCTGCAACTTTGAAGGGTTCATCTCCAAAGAGCTTCTGGTTGACATTCCGGTTGATTCAGGAATTTTATCTCTGAAAGTTGTGCCAAGATTTCAAAGCAACTTCTCCCACTCCACCAGAAATTCAGGGTTTAATTTGTGCCGATGCAAGCTTTTGAATCACATCTCCATTTTTAGACTGGGGTAAGAAAGGATGGAGAAAATATATATTTTATACAGATTTCATACAGACAGATGCGATCTAGTAATACCTCACTCCAAATTCCTAGTAGCCCGGAGCCTTTATTTCAAACATTCCCCTTTCATTCTACTGATGTATCTGATTTTGTTGAAACTGCATAATGTCTTCGGGGACTGGAGGCTAAAACATATGAAGAATGGTTGTAGGAATTGGATATGTCTAGTCTAATGAAAAGAAGGACTAGGGGTGACATGATAGCAGTCTTCCAATATTTAGGAGCTCCACAAAGAAGAGGGAGTCAAGCTATTCTCCAAAGCACCTGAGGGCAGGACAAGAAGCAACGGATGGAAACTAATCAAAGAGAGAAGCAACCTGGAACTAAGGAGAAATTTCCTGACAGTGAGAACAATTAATCAGTGGAACAACTTGCCTCCAGAAGTTGAGAAAGCTCCAACACTGGAGGTTTTTAAAAAGAGATTGGATGTCCATTTGTCTGGAATGGTATAGGGTCTCCTGCTTGAGCAGGAGGTTGGACTAGAAGACCTCCAAAGTCCCTTCCAACTCTGTTATCCTGTTGTCCTGTTATCCTCTTCTTTAAAATTGTTCTCTCTTTTATCTCCTTCTTGTTTCAGGTGTCCGAAAGATGTGACTACGTATTTGTCAATGGGAAGGAAATGAAAGGCAAAGTGAATGTGGTGGTCCATTTCACCTACCAACATCTGAACAGCCCCCTGGAGTTGACTGTGTGGGTTCCCCGCCTCCCACTGCAGATTGAAATCTCTGACCCAGAGTTAAATCAGATCAAGGGCTGGAGGATCCCCATTGTTTCTAACAAGAGGTAAGATCCCTTGGGATCTTTCTAGCCCCGCCTTGGTTTTCTCTCCCATAATTCCCTGAAAGCATACAATTGGCTTCATTCACACAACACCCGGAAGACCAGTTGGATCTAGCAGTGAAGGTGTTGGACTAGGAGCCAATCATCTTTCCTACATGGCCTTTCTATGTTGTGTGAAATCTTGTTGCTACTAAGATTGTTGCCTCTTGTTGCTACTAAGTCTGAACAGCTGGCAATACCTTACATTCTAATGGAGAGCTAACGTTTGTGGATAGATATATTGTACATTTATTAATGATCAATATCAATACATAAATTGGGTTCACACGGAATACTCCGTCTGGTTAACCTGGGTTCGCACTGTATTTTAATTTCTTTGTGTTTGTGGCCTGTGTTCCTTTGAGTGTCTCTCTCTGGCCTTCAACCAGTCTTGGCTCCTAGTGGCTACATGGACAAGTCTTAGCAACATTTTTGGAGATGATTTGCTTCTGAGCGACAGTAATTGGCCCCAAAGTCACCCAGTTGAAATCCATGCCCAAGTCAAGAGTAGAACTCAGCTCTCCTTACTCCTAGTCCAACACCTTCACTGCTAGATCCAACTGGTCTTCCCGTTGAATTCATCGAAATGGCTGAGTTTCCACCAGCATGTTTTAGGTGGAAGGTGAAAATGACCTCAGGTTGGAATTTGGGGCAAGAGGTTGTTTAATTAAGGGGAAGGAACAGCGGAGCCCCCCTCCCCCCCAAAGTAAGACTCACAGAGTGACCAGGATGGTCCAGACATAACTGCTTCATAGCTTGCCAGCAGACCTGGGAGAGGGAGAGGTTTGGTATTTGAGCTGTTTACATCAGCTGGCTACTTCGGAAGAACCAAGGACCCAAGGAGAGATGTTTATTGAAGATTGTGGATTCTCTCATAACAATTGTCAAATAGCTTACAACTGGGCAATTGGGAGGGAGGTTTCTATTCTTTTAATATAGGTAGTCCTCGACTTAACACAAGTTCATTTCGCGAACGTTCAAAGTTACTACGGCACTGGAAAAAAGTGACTGAGGAACATTGTTCACAGTTACAATCCTTGCAGCATCCCATGATCACGTGATCAAAATTCAGATGCTTGGCAACCGGTTCATATTTAGGACTGTTGCTGTGTCCCAAAGTCATGTGATGGTCTTTTGTGACCTTCTGACAAGCAAAGTCAATGGGGAAGCCAGATTCACTTAACAACCAAGTTGCCAACTTATCAATTGCAGTTCTTCACTTAACAACTGAAGCAAGAAAAGTCATAAAATGGGGCAAAATTCACTTAACAAATGTCTCAGTTAACGACAGAAATTTGGGGCTCAGCTGTGTTCGCAAGTCGAGGACTACCTGTATAACAATTTAGGCACGAAAACCGCAGAGCTGGTTTTCCTTTCATCAGCGCTGAAATGGTGCACTCAATAAAGTTTTGCATTAGGGATTTAATTGTCTCAGCTGTGTTTACTTTGTTGGGTTTACCAGTCAGAACCTTGACAGTAGGGCTGATGGATCGCCCACGCAAGTCATAAGATCATGCATGGACCCCATAAGAGCAAGTCTTTAACGCCATAACATCAACAGTGCCACAAGGTCAACTTTTAGGTTGGCTTGACCATCTGGCTTGAATCTCTTCACAGATTAGTTAGAGACAGCGATGATGAAGAGGAGGATGAGAGGAAGGGAAGAGGTTGTACTCTCCAGTACCAGCATGCAACAGTGCGGGTCCTTACCCAGTTTGTAGCTGAGCCCTTGGACCCTGGTGGTCAAACTACTTACCTGTTGGGCTCCGACTGGCAAGTGGACATCAGTGACCTGGTAAAGAATTTCATGCAAGTGGAAGAGCCGAGGATTGCCAAGCTGCAAGATGGACAGGTGCTAATGGGACAGGAGTTAGGAATGACTACCTTACAGGTGAGCACAATGAAGGGCTGGGTAAAAAGACAGATTCCTTTCTAGATCAGACCAAAAGATTCATCATATCCTTCATCTAATTGCAGACACTACAGATGTTCACAACTAAGACACAACTAAGACACGAAGGCAGCATCCTGTTTAGGGCTATAGGGCATATGAATATGGAAGTTTCATTAAGTTCAGAATCCATCCAACTGAATAACAGCATGACACAGTTGGAAGGGACCTTGGAGGTCTTCTAGTCCACCCCCCTGTTCAAGCAACCTTTCCAACAGGTTTTTCAGACATTCACAGATCTTTCCTGAGACTCATGGAGAAGACTCTTGGTGTGCTTTGTGGTGTATTTGTGCTGATCAGAAAGCAATTTAGAACATACAATAACAGAGTTGGAAGGGGCTTTGGAGGTCCTCTAGTTCAACCCCCTGCTCAGGCAGGAAACCCTATACAATTTCAGACAAATGGTTGTCCAATCTCTTCTTAAAAACCTCCAGTGTTGGAGCATTCACCGCTTCTGGAGGCAAGTCGGTCCCCTGATTAATCGTTCTCACGATCAGGAAGTTTCTCCTTAGTTCCAGGTTGCTTCTCTCCTTGATTAGTTTCCATCCGTTGCTTCTTGTCCTGCCTTCAGGTGCTTTGGAGAAGAGGTTGACCCCCTCCTCTTTGTGGCAGCCCCTCAAATATTGGAGCACTGCCATCATGTCACCCCTAGTCCTTCTTTTCATTTAAACTAGACATACCCAATTCCAGCAACCGTTATTGCACAGATCAGTGCATAAGGAAGCAGAAAGAAAAACTGAGATACATTTCAGAGCCGGAACAGCTTATCCAAAGAGTACAAAAAAACTGAATACAAAGCCACAGTCCTTTAAAAGTCCACCTCTGTTCTTGGTTTACCTTGAAAAGCAGGACAAATAGGAAGGAACAGACTGCCACCCTAGAAAGAAACCAAAATGATAGCACAAAGCAGGAGGAAGTGTTTTTATGTTTCAAGAATGCCCCGAAAGGGACTTAAAAGTTCATTTTATACTGTTGGATTAGCTACAGATAAGGTGGGTTTTGTTTTTTTGGGGTGTTTTGGTGTTTTGTTTTGTTTTTTGCATTGCAAAAAGCTTTTACGGCAGTCGGCAATCCACACATTGCATTGAGCAAATTTAGCAGTCTTTCCCCCCCCCCCAAAAAAAACCCCGGGGGTGTCCTTTGTTAGAGTAGCATCACTCTGCAGCTCTTTCTGAAGACATTTTATCAGCCGCAGAAATGCTTGGCTCTGCCTTGTGTCCAGAAATACAAAGAATATATTTGGCAGGGAAATTCAGCAAGGAAGTGAGTGACAAATGGATAGTCGGTCCCTTCACTTGCGAGAACACCTGTCACCTGTCTCCCCAGAATTCATCCACTTAGGTGACATGGTGTCATCCCCTGGATTGCTCCATCTGGTCTCTCTCTCTCTCTCTCTCTCTCTCTCTCTCTCTCTCTCTCTCTCTCTCTCTCTCTCTCTCTCTCTCTCTCTCTCTCTCTCTCCCTCCCTCCCTCCCTCCCTCCCTCCCTCCCTCCCTCCTTCTCTCCCCTTTTCTCTCCCTCTCTCCTTTTCTCTCTCTTTCCCTCCCCATCCATCCATCCATCCATCCATCCATCCATCCATCCATCCATCCATCCATCCATCCATCCATCCATCCATCCATCTATCTATCTATCTATCTATCTATCTATCTATCTATCTATCTATCTATCTATCTATCTATCTATCTATCTATCTATCTATCTTATCTGTTGGGTGATAGGAGTAAGGGGGAACCTATGGCTCGAAAGGGTAATGCAGGCTTCCCAGGTTCGAATCCCAGAAGGGTATGACTAGCTGATGAGAGCTAATGAGCTTGAAATAGCTATACTAGTCTCCCACTAACTCTTTGCCAGCCACAAAATTTTGAATCTATCTATCTATCTATCTATCTATCTATCTATCTATCTATCTATCTATCTATCTATCTATCTATCTATCTATCTATCTATCTATCTATCTATCTATCTATCTATCATCTCGCTCTAAAGGAGAGAGAGATAGAAATATAGAGATAAAAATGTTAGAGGGGGAGAGAGATAGAGAGATGATAGACATATCTCTATTATCTCTCTCTCTCCCTCTCTTTCTCTCTCTCTCTCTTTCTTATTTATTTTTTTTAGCAGAAGCAAATAAAAAAAAAGGTATGAAAAGAAAAACAATCATGCAAAACACTGGTCCCGTGAGCATAAGACATGAATAACAGAGGAAAATTCCCGGGATGAGGTGGGAAGACAGAAGGAAGAAGAGTTGAAGAAGGGATCACCTTTGTGTTTCTTAATCTGCGTTTTGAAATGTGCAGATCCCGAAGTCTCAGTTCTCGGGATTTTAAAACAAAGTTCTCAGTCAGTCAGGAGCACCTTAGAGGTGCAGAAAAAGATGGTTTTGGAGATAAGGTGTGTTTAGAGATGTATCTGTTGAGAGAAAATACGGGTAGAAATGGGCAATTTGGGAGAAGGTGTATTCCTGATGAACATCTTGTAGAGGTTTCAATCTGAAAACAAAATAGGAGGAACTCATCTGATCATCCCACCTTGAACAGATTGTTCTCTGATGGTCCTTTGTCCTTTTTTCATCCTTCCTTCCTTCCCTCCCTCCCTCCTATTTTCCTTCCTGCTTTTTTCCAGCCCATCTCTTCCTTCCTTTCTCCCTCTCTATCCCTCCCTTTTCTTTCTTTCTTTCTTTCTTTCTTTCTTTCTTTCTTTCTTTCTTTCTTTCTTTCTTTCTTTCTTTCTCTTTCTTTCTCTTTCTTTCTTTCTTTCTCTTTCTTTTTCCTTCCTTCCTTCCTTCCTCTTTCTTTTTCTTTCTTTTCCTTCTTTCTTTCTCTCTTTCTTTCTTCTTCCTTCCTTCCTTGCTTCCTTCCTCTTTCTTTCTTTCTTTCTTTTTTTCTCTTTCTTTCTCATTCTTTCTTTTTCCTTCCTTTCTTTCCTCCCTCCTCCCTCCCTCCCTCCCTCCCTTCCTTCCTTCCTTCCTTCCTTCCTTCCTTCCTTCCCAATCCTATTTTCTGAAACTTAAGTCCCAAGTAAACCACTCTTTGTAATGTATCATTGTTGTTTTATAGAGCTGCAATCTAACAAAATTGTGGTTTCTGGGGGAAAAAAAAATAAAGGCTCTACCTAGTTAAAAATGAGACGTGGCGTGCTTGGAAAAAGTGACTTCCTTGGAATGTAGCGATGCACTGCCACTTTGCTTGTCTCCTGCAGATCCTGTCCCCACTTTCCGATGCCATCTTGGCAGAGAAGACGGTGACCGTCCTTGATGAGAAGGTGACCCTCACTGACCTGGGGGTCCAACTGGTGTCCGGTCTTTCGCTCTCCTTACAGCTGAGCACCGGAAGCAACAAAGCCATCTTCGCTACGGCCATCGCCCAAGAACTGCTTCAAGCAGAAAAGCAGGTTAGCAGCCTCACCCCTGAAGGTCCTTTTTCCCTGGTTGGGTCTCCGAGCGTCCTGTCTGAGCACGGGTGGCCCATATTTCTTCCTAAAGCATAAGCGGTCACTTCTCAATTGATCCTTTGATAAGCCATAGGTGAAGAGGGGATCTATTTTATTGGCAACATTTTAAATGGCCTTATGAATCTACAGGTAGCCAAATGGAGAACCAGGCAGTGTTCATAATGTTGGTTTCTTTGCTTTCCTCTTCCACTGCATTTCCTTTTCCTCCCTCCCTCCTTTCTTTCTTTTCTTCCTTCCTTCTTTCCTTCCTTTGTCCCTCTCTCCCTCCATTGGCCTTCCTTCCTCCCTCCCTTCCCCATTCATCCTTTCTCTTCCCCATTCATCCCTTCCCTTCCCCATTCATCCTTTCTCTTCCCCATTTATCCCTTCCCTTCCCCATTCATCCTTTCCCTTCCCCATTCATCCCTTCTCTTTCCTATTCATCCCTTCCCTTCTCTGTTCATCCCTTCCCTGTTCATTCCTTCTCTTCCCTATTCATCCCTTCCCCATTCATCCCTTCCCTTCCCCATTCATCCCTTCCCTTTCCCATTCATCCCTTCTCTTCCCTATTCATCCCTTCCCTTCTCTATTCATCCCTTCTCTTCTCTATTCATCCCTTCCCTTCCCCATTCATTCCTTCTCTTCCCCATTCATCCCTTCCCTTCCCCATTATCCCTTCTCTTATTCACATCCCTTCCCTTCTCTATTCATCCCTTCCCCATTCATTCCTTCTCTTCCCTATTCATCCCTTCCCTTCCCCATTCATCCCTTCCCTTCCCCATTCATCCCTTCCCTTCTCTATTCATCCCTTCCCCATTCCTTCTTTTCTTCCCCATTCATCCCTTCCCTTCCCTAGTCATCCCTTCCCCATTCATCCCTTCCCTTCCCCATTCATCCCTTCCTTTCCCATTCATCCCTTCTCTTCCCTATTCATCCCTCCCCTTCCCCTGTTTTTCTCCTCTTTTCCTCCCCCAATAATATTATTCTTCTACTTCAACTCTCCTTCTTCACTCCTATTAGCTTCCCACCCTTTCCTCCATCAACATCTCCCACAATCTTACTCCGACAATACACCTCCCAGCACAGAGACTTGTGCCCACCAAGACCCCTCCTCCCCCAGATCTGCTTTTCCTGCTAAGCAGGTGAACTGGCACTGGTGTCCTTGTATGACTGTTAATATTATTCTAAAAGGACATTTTAGATTCATAGGTGCTCATCGCCCAAGGCCACCCAACACCTAAATAGGGAAGCATTGCAGCCAGTAAATAGGGCAGCAAAACTAGAACAAGCCCTGGGTGGAAAAAAAAATATGAATTCTTTTTGCTTCTTCTTCTGGTAACCTTTCATAAATAATACAACATTGTACTGCTCACCTGCCAAAAATGCATGTTTTGGGGAAGAAGATTCTATACACTCTAGTTGAACGGCAAATCTAGCCGTTTCTTAACCTTGGTGGTCCTTCATTTTTTTATGTATATAATTTTTATGAAAGATTTTGTTGTTGTTGAAAGGAAGATAAAAACCCACACAAATTAACACAGAGCCAGAAAAAGAAAAGAGAAAAAAAGCTTGAAGTGCAAGAAAGAGGGGGGGGGGGGAAAGAAAAGAAAAAAAAGAGAGAGAAAAGCCACAAGGAAGTAGCTTGCAATCTTCTTTAGGGCAGTTATAAGTGCAATGATCAATTTATCCCTTTCTCGGTAGTTACAACATCCATCTCCTTTTTATAATCTATCCTGTCTGATCATCCCAACCGTACATCATAAGTTCATTCTTTTCTGTTTCGCAGCAAAAAGTCTACAAGGGATTTCAGTCAGCAATAAACGTAGATATTGTCTTTGTCTCTGATTAAAGAAGTCAACTTAACCATCTCAGCAAGTTCCGTCATCTTGAACCTTGTTGGTCCTTTGGTGTGTGGAAACCATCCAGATGTGATTTTTGCCTGCCTGGTGGTTTTGGGGAGATGGATTTGAATAGTGCTGGGGGGAAGGGGAGGTGGGAGGCAGGGGGAAAGATGGATAGAGCAAAATCAAGGAGAGAAGCAACCTAGAACTAAGGAGAAACTTCCTGACAGTGAGAACAATTAACCAGTGGAACAACCTGCCTCCAGAAGCGGTGAATGCTCCAACACTGGAAGTTTTTAAGAAGAGACTGGACAGCCATTTGTCTGAAATGATGTAGGGTTCTTGCCTGAGCAGGGGGTTGGACTCGATGACCTCCAAGGTCCCTTCCAACTTTTGATGATGATGATGATGATGATGATGATGATGATGATGATGATGATGATGATGATGTGGTTGTTGATCTTGAGGTCATCTGCTAAACATCAGCATCAGGAGATCCAGCAGCTGTACCCATAGCTACATGACTCAAGCTGCTATTGGTAGAGTTGATCATGGCCATCAATTTAGAGCAGGGGTCTTCAAACTTGACCCTTCTATGACTTGTGGACTTCAACTCCCAGAATTCCTCAGCCAGGCTGAGGAATTCTGGGAGTTGAAGCCCACAAGTCATAAAAGGGCCAAGTTTGAAGACCCCTGATTTAGAGGGTTTCAAGGGAGACTTTGAGCTTGTGGGGAAATACAAGATTACATGCCTTAGCCCCAGCAGTTGGGTGCCGTATTTGGAATGGGACCAGCTATTGTGTTTTGAGTGTTGCTTTGCTTCTGAACATCCCAAATGTACTGGATTGTCCACTGTAAGTATGGAGTGGAAGGGTCTTTGACTTTAGGATCCTTCTCTATTTCTTTTCTCATTTTTCCAGCATTAGGTTTATTTTGCTCCATGTCTGCATTAGGGGTCCTTGGTTCTCTCTGAGTTTGGTTGTTTTCTTGCAGACATTTTGTGACCCAAACTAGGTAACATCATCATGTTTGGGTCATGAAACACTACTAGAAGACAACCAAGCTCAGAGAGGACCAAGGACCCCACAGTCCTCCTCCTCCTCCTCCTCCTCCTCCTCCTCCTCAATTCTGCAAATCCCACTCCCTTCCACCACTGATGATATTCCCAAGTTGGGTAATGAAATGTCTGCAAGAAAACCACTAGGCTCAGACATACCACCACAATGGAGCCTAAAATTTATCTGGCTAAGTCAGACATTTCTCAAGTGAGTTTTGCCCCATTTTACGACCTTTCTCGCCCTCGTCGTTAAGTGAATCATTGCAGTTGTGAAGTGAGTCACACGGTTGTGAAAATGAACCTGGCTTCCCCATTGACTTTGCTTGCCAGACGATCGCAAAAGGAGATCACAGGACCCCCGTCACAAATAGGAACCAGTTGCCAAGCGTCTGAATTTCGATCACGTGACCACAGGGGTGCTGCAAGGGTTGTAAGTGTGAAAAACGGTCGTACGTCCGTTTGTAACTTTTGAATGGTCACTAAGCCAACTGTTGTAAGTCGAGGACTACCTGTCTAAAAAAACAAATTGTGCTGGATTTGTCCCAATGTCATTCTATCTCATTTCCCCCCAAAAAACAGGAAGCTGTGATCAGTTGCTGGATCCAGTTCAGCGATGGAGCAGTTGTGCCCTTAGATATTTACGACGCCAAGGATTTCTCTTTGGTGGCCACGTCTCTGGATGAGAAGGTGGTCTCCGTCCACCAGAGTCCCAAGTTTAAGTGGCCGTTCGTCGTGGCCGAGTCAGAAGGCCAGGGTCTCTTGGTGAAAGTGGAGCTGGTGATCAGCGAATCCTGTCAGAAGTCCAAAAGGAAGAGTGTCCTGGCCGTGGGTACTGGAAGCATCAAGGTCAAGTTTGGTCAGAACGACACCATCCCAAACCCAAGTGACAGTAAGCCTGGCGGAGACGGTGTCCATCTAGAGAACCGGACCAGCGATCGGCGTCAGAAGACAAGCCTGCAGGAGAGATCTCGCCCACAGGGACCTTACTACAG